ACAGTTAATTTTTTTTCCGCTACTGATTTTTGGTAAAGCGTGAACTGGTATAAAAAAGACATTAACTGAGGTTATTCAGGTCTTTGATAGGATTAATATGGCAAAGACAATGGTAGAGTTGGATCAAAACAAATTTTTCCAGTTGATAGTCTCAAAAGTATATAGAATTAAAAGTACGATTATTCAATTATTCAGAAGTGAACGTTTAATGCTGATAACATACGATCCAATTTATAACTAGTTTTCCTCTTATCAGTGTCAGATGACTTCTTGATCCTTCAATATTAGTTTATTTCCTCCTTATGAGAGTTTAAGTAAAATCCAGCCAGAACAAACTTAATTATACAAATGTTAGTTTTTGTACACAACCAAGGATCACTGATACAAAAATGCAACTGAAACTCATATAAACATGTAAATCTGTTATAAAACAAACAATTACCAGCAATCTTCCACGTCGTGTTGATAGTTTTGAACATTGTGTTGGAATTTTAAGTTCTCCTTTTGTTGTCGTCGAATCAAAGCACGCCAAGAACAGCACGTGACACTGTCATTAAAACAAATATCATATTTTGCTAATTACGTTCGCTCTGATCCTGCAACACTGAGAATCCATGGAGCACTGGCGGTCCCCTACGACGGCACGCAAAATGTGCGTTACATATAACTTAAGATAACCTTGGAAACAGTTGGAGCCGTCCTTTGAATTTAAAACAAGAAATAAAAATATCGACCCGGATACTCAACGGTTATGTCGCGGAAGGAAGCTCCAATATACAATCACACTTTCACCATCTTGAAATGCACAGTTTCTACATACTTAACGACGCTTTTTCATTCATTAAAGTTATTATTAATAATTCTGTTGTTGTAGAGAACTACCTTAAAATGCTGGCGATAAGATTTAACAGCATGAAGATCTGTTCCTTGAATTTAACAATAAACATCCTCCGAACGAACGGTTTGTAAACCCAGGTCAGATTTTCCAGAAGTTCTAATAAAGGAAGACAAGTTCAGTTTTACTACAGACGTACGGCATTGTAGTGAAGGCCAGTCTACAGGTGTCAACATTCTAGTTTAAACAACACAACAATGTGAAATGTTTCGTGATCCTATGACCGTGTGTATATTTAAACATCGTTTAGCCTGTTTATTCTATGACGTCTCTACGTGGGCACAAAACATTTGTAACAAGAATTGGTAGTGTTCTACCACAGTTTGAAACAACATAATAAAGAAACACGAGTAAAAATATTTAATGTTATTATGAATTCCATTAATTCTGCGTCATGCTTGGGTACACACAAGTTTAGTTCATCCATGCAAATGCCAGGACAATAGGTCTGATCTGAAACAAATGACAGTCGCAAATCGTCTTCGGCATTTCCCCATGTTTAATCACAAAACTAGATTGGCAAATCATTAAAACCATCCAAAGAACTGCGATCCTAATGAAAATGACCAACCCAAAAAAATCCATCAATCAAATGTGTCATTGTTGGAGTAAGAGACGGTTAAACAAATTTCAGAGGTTATGTATAGTCTGTGATGGCGCTGAAGTCTAGCTAATCGACGATCTGTTGAATGGATTATTAGTTCCGTTTCCCACCACATAACTATTAGCCTTGTTTGAATTATAACAATCGACTTCGTTCAAAATCTCGACGTTTGTTGTCATAATGGAGGCAAGTCTGTATAAAGTAACTTATTTATCTTGTATTCGAGAATAAAATTAAAACTTAGGCCATATTCAGCGAGCAGGGATGTAATTCACTTCCCTCTGTAGTCAATTTCTCGACAAATACGCTCAATCCATTTATAGTGAAGCAATCAGTGTATGTTCTCTTTTCGGTCCGAACCTTTACTGCTCGGTCAATACTGCATCACCGAGTGACGCAAAACAGAGGTAATGGCAAAGTTCCCAGAATATTTAACGTCCCCGATTATTTATAGAATCGATTTTATTCACACTAATTCAATATGTTCACAGCACATACTGAATAATAATATAAAAGCACATCGTACTAGGCAGAGTACAAAGTCTTTTGAACGAAGTCATGAGATGTTTTGAACTTTGTTACAAACATAATACTATTTGAAATTAAATACTCTCTCTCTCTCTCTCTGTTCAATTTGTACTTATTATGCACTTTAAGATACATTTCCCAGCCTTGACAACAAAATTAATTAAATTGTAACTAAACATTGCTCGTAATCTGATAAATCGATTTCACAACTGATGAATCACTTACATAAATCATGCGCAAATACGATCCCAAAAACAAATAATATTTTAATAAATGATATAAATTAATAGACAGTACTTAAAAATAAGTGTTATGGATTAAACATTTCCACATTGAAGTAACTCCCGGAGTTTAATATAAATAAGTATTTAGATTTAATTTTAAGTTGTAATTTTAATTTTTAGAAATATCAGTTTGGATAAAAGTGATAATCTAGCTATACGAATGTTATATTAAAAAGGACATTTTAAATGTGATTAGGCCTGTGCGTAAACAATATGCTTCTAATCTTGTAAGATGTTTATTGTTAAAAAAATAATTTATCGGAACTAAACGAGACACTGAAATTTCAAAAAAAAAAATAATAAACCTGAGAGAAACATAAATGTTAAGTCACTTGTCGATTTCGCACTTCGAAACGTCAGTTCCGCTCGAAAACTCACATATTCGTTAAATGAACTACGACCGGTAATTCGCGAACACATAAACACACTCAGCTGATGGTTTCATCATACAGCTTACTCATGACGCACAAATGCACACGAACGTAAATTAATTTCAACTCAGGAAGTACTTCTCGCCGCGGAGGTCGGGGCTGCTAGGCAAACTGGTCGCTTGGAAGTGAATACGAATCCCACACACATAGACGACGGACTGTGTATGTAATGTGCCATTATTTCGAGCGGGTTGCCAGTGACGTGTCTCTACAGCGCGTACCTGCCACAGAACTGAATTTGGAATGGCTCGAAGGCGATCGTCTCTTGTTATCATTCAAAACAGCAGATCGTGTGTATGACGTAAATACTTTCACTGCTTTCACATTTCTGCTGTCAGGAAAACGGGATAATGTCCCTGCCGAATGGAATTATCAGTAGACCGAGTTTAAAGAACGTTTGCTAGATATTACACTGAAATTCAGAAAACTTAGAGATTAAAATATTTTATTTTTATTTATTTAGTGTTCTGTCTGACGACAGGTCCATATGAACAGGATCCTTCCATCCTTTTCTCGGACTGGGACCTGTTCATATACGTTCTTGGCAGATGATCCAGAAGTGGTTTGCCATTGCCTTCTTCTGTGTGTGAATGGAGTAATTGTTGGGATGCCACGGAGGAAAACTCCGTGTTGCCTAGACCACGGCCTTGCCCAACACAGGTTATAAATTCGGGCACCGCCGGGAATCGAACCCGAGACCCCAGGATTACAAGGCCAGGTATGTAACACGCATGGGAGAGGTTAGAAACACGTGAAAATTTTGGTCGGAAGACCTGAGAGGGGAAGGCACATTGAAAGACCTAGACGTAGATGAGGTAATATGTGGAATATTTGAGGAAAATTAAAGTGTGAGGTTATGGATTGGATTAATTTTTAGATAGAAAATTGTGAACACTGTAATATATCGGGCTCCGAAGCAGGGAAAATTTCTTGTCGAGCTTGAACGACTACATTTTGATTGTATATCGGTACGTCCTCGGTTTTCTTCAGTACCCTTGTACTTTGAAATATGTCGTGAGGCGCGTGGACAGGAAAACTTGGCTACCGCACACCATAAATATTTTCATCCCACTTTGGAACAACACCAAGACTGAAATGCAGGTGCTGGTTAAAATAACAAAAAGAAAAAGAAAACCGGTGGGCTTCGCCGCTGCCTTATTTAGCATAGACCCATACCACGTCAGTATACGCCCTTCGATCTGACAACATTTCTGACATTCTTTTATAACTGCTGACTCAAATACACGTGTTTACAGCGTGTACTTGGCGAAATATTTAACTTCCTCGACTATATTAAGTCCTGTATCTGTAGGAAATTTGGTATATTTGTTGTCACTGTGTCTTAATTAGGCATCACGTCAGGAAGGCGTATTTGGAAATGGAGTTTCAGCTCCAATAATTCTTTAACCTGGTACTATGTGGAGGTGAGTGGTCAGCTTCACGTTAGGGTTGACTTATCACAGAGAAGCAACCGACAATACTCATTTGACATGAAGATTCGTGAAATTATCTATCTTTCTGAAATTATAACACGTAGACACTTGAATTCATCATGATTTTTATGATAAAAGCCTCTATATATTAAATTATCGTCATTTCCTTATAAATATTACACGTAATAATTAACCAGACAATGTTATTTAAGTATAAAATTTTAAATACATTTAACCCACATCAATATTTCAATATATATATATCTCGTAAATACATAACCATATCTCGGTTGTTATGGTTACTGAAGTTTCCTTATTGAAAGTTTAATGTTCATGTCGGAGAGTCGGCCTTTCAGTGTATGAAAGTCTAGCCAAATTTTAAATACATGACAGAAGTTGCTACTTAGTATTCTGGTCAAAGTTTTTAAGACTTCATTATTAACTCTTAACATGGATAAGAGTTGGCCCACGCCGTCCTCAAACACGTGACCGTCCCATAAAATTCAATCGTTCTAACTCGACATTCATCAGTAATTCAAGCGGACATTCTGTGACGAAACAAATTCCTAACGGTGGACAGTGTAAATATAACGCACTTCCTTACTTAAAATCTACGTCCGAGGTGTCAATGCGTTCTTTGTACGATGTGTCTGTCTGTCCGATAGCTTTCGTGAAAAAAATTCAATTCAAAATCTTACGGCAATCAGAAAAATTCAGCCAATTCTAATTGACAACTGAAAGTCCTCGCCCTGTTCTATTATCGATAGTTTTTTTTTTCTAAGCAGTCAGGAAAATGTTATTTCTGTCCGCACGATTTGAGAACCACTGGGTGGATTTCGAGAAAATTTGGTATGGATTTACGACATGGGGTCTATCCCAAAATCGTACATTTAATTTCTACAATCAGCATTACCAACACAACGGATGAACACGTTAGTGACGTAGGGGTCAACACTAGCGCCACTTACGACAGAACCATGCAATGCGGTATGGTTAGAGACTTTTTTTTCGAAAAATACGTAACTTTAGTATCGTTATTATTTGTGTAACAGAAAAGATGTCTGTATAAAACAAAGGAAAATTTTATTCACCGGGGTACGATCCCATACAAGGAATAACAATGCAACGCTATTAAGTAAAATTAATTCTGTATTTATTAACATAAAAACTTTCTCGACTGAATGGAATCTTTATAATAAACTTACGCTCTCAAATTTAATTACGAATCTGATCATATAGTTCTTAATTAACTTGGTATTAGATGATTACAAAGCAGTGGTGAAGAGTTATTTGTTTGTCAGTGGTCTGAACGCGGTAAATGTTAGTATATCACAAACACGTAAGCCGGACACACACAACAATGGGTGTTGTACCTGGTGATGGTGATATTGAACCGCCTGTCTCATATAGTTGTTTCTCTCCCTACCACAGGTGACGTTGTTCACTGTGAAATCCAGTTTCGTATAACTTCGTCTCAGATCCGAAGCAGGTCCGGTTGTAAGATGTTGATTATCGCCCATAATTGGTCTCGCGGTCGCTGGTGGCAACAATGACACCTTCATTTACTTCTGCGATTATTGAAACCAGCCTTTTCAACACTTTTATTAACTGTCTTATTCAGATGCAAGAATGAATGTTATTGTTTTGAGATTGTTTCCTTCAGTTCGTACTTGTATTATTGTCAGGTTAAATTGTTTCCTTCAGTTCGTACTTGTATTGTTGTCAGGTTAATTTTTTTTTCTTCAAACTATGACAGTAACGTCAGATTCGACAATAAAACTTTCACACGCAAATATTTATTCCTCAAGACGTATAAGAGGCCTATTAAAAATCACTCAAGCTTCATCATATAGCCTATTAATTACTAGGATAGAGATTCTCAACTCCACGAATATGGACACTTTACAAATGCATCACTTTTTTTTCCTCCAAAATGTATACGATTTTTAAACAAGTTCGCACGCGTTCAAACGCAAACTTATTTATCTATTCACTTATTTGATAAGTAACAATATGCTGTTTCATACACTATATATTCCCGTTCTTTTATTTTGGAAAAAAATTATAAATGCTTCTCGTCGATTCTGACCTATAATTTCCTTAGCATTATAGATTAATTTAAGTATCGTATTTCGTGTTCTTCAAACCCAGCTTGACTCTCTCGAACACTTCACACGATTATATTCAAGTCAGTTCAATTGTTATGAAGTGTTCTTTATCAACAGTCTCTTCTCTCCCCCAAGGTTCAGAACAAGGTCCTTTCCTGAAAATAAGGAATCTAATGTAAGGTCCTTTCCTGAAAATAAGGAATCTAATGTAAGGTCCTTTCCTGAAAATAAGGAATCTAATGTAAGGTCCTTTCCTGAAAATAAGGAATCTAATGTAAGGTCCTTTCCTGAAAATAAGGAATCTAATGTAAGGTCCTTTCCTGAAAATAAGGAATCTAATGTAAGGTCCTTTCCTGAAAATAAGGAATCTAATGTAAGGTCCTTTCCTGAAAATAAGGAATCTAATGTAAGGTCCTTTCCTGAAAATAAGGAATCTAATGTAAGGTCCTTTCCTGAAAATAAGGAATCTAATGTAAGGTCCTTTCCTGAAAATAAGGAATCTAATGTAAGGTCCTTTCCTGAAAATAAGGAATCTAATGTAAGGTCCTTTCCTGAAAATAAGGAACCTCAAATAACATCGGTGCAGTTCATGCCAGTATACATGCTACTGACATTTATTAATTAATTAAACATCACGCCATTAAAATGTATGATTATATGGAGGCCCAGCTCCACTAATTTAATGGATTTATTTTATTTATCGACACTGTCAATACCTCAGGCTAGTCTAGACCTCGCCGAATGAAATTCTGTTTTCAATTATGAATACCCACAGGCCTGTATTTATTTAAATCCACGATAAAACGGTGTAATTGGTAGTTTAATTATGTAATCTACAAACTGACCTCGACATTTACAAACACTACGAAGCAGAGTCAGTATTAAGAAGTCAAAAGTCACTCACTTCGTAAACAAACTCCTCGCCTTTTATGGAACACAACATTAGCCAATATCGAAAGCCAACTGAACCCAAACCACACACTCACGCCACAGATCCTTAAATCCATCTTAATATTATCCTCCCACACACTTAGCGACGCTATAATAATCATTCGTACGAAACAGCATAGTTAAATGACAAACGACTAAAAATAATTAAGAGATCTCAGGCACTTTAAATATCTCCAAGAGATACAATTTAGTGGTCCAGTCCAGGGAAGCTGTTCAAGTCCTGACTCCTGTCAGGGGGATTCCCGTGGCCTTCTCAGCGGGCGTGAGTTATTTTAGGGCCACGGCTCACCGTCAGCGTAGCAGCCGTCTCTACTTCACAGCCGGTGTGATTTTAAACAGCGATTATTTCCTTAAACAGCGTTAACCAGTTGATCTTTGTAATGGTGAAGTGTAGTGTTTTCTTCGCGGTACGGACTGAATTCTTAAAATAACATTTAGACGAGCTTATGACCCTACTCAAGTCCTCTCCTTGCTCCACATTTAACCTCACCTTTTCTACTTCAAAACGCCTTACTCTCACAAAGCCTGCCCCTTACCAGGACAAGCGGGCACTGCCTGGGAACCTTCGCAGCCGTAAATATAAATTTATGATCTCCCCCCCCCACCGGTTAAAATAAGTATAGCCTCTCGCTAATCCCCCACTTTCTACTCTCTGTTCTTCGGTTCAAAGGGTTAAGGGCCCTAATTAGCAGTTTATACGAAATATTTGTGTAATAAAGCTCGAAGCTTCAATAATGAAACAATGACAAAAATGTAGTCGTCACATTTACACAAAAAAAGTGTTTAAATGCTTTTAAATATTTCGATGATATCTCGTTGACTATTTGCGCTTTAGTCGAGTCCACAACACTAATTCCGTCCCGTCCTGCATTGCAGTTTTAGTGTTACTGACGACGATATTCTGGGAATCCTAAACACACGAGCGTGGGTCTTCGCTTGAGTCCGGATAAACCATTCCACACACACGTCTGGCTGGCTCTTTCGATGGTTCGTGCGACGTCTAATCAATCCACTGCTCGTTACGTATTAATTTAGAAATGTTTTCAACACTCGGGAGACCTAGGCATAAATGGAAAGATAATATTAAAGTAGATATTAAAATAAATAGGGTGTGATTGTGTGGACCGGATTCAGTTGACTTCTTGTTCTTGTGAACACGACAATGAATGTTTTTGTTCCGTAAAAGACACGTAATTCTGTCAGTCAGTTTTGGTCTGTGGTTACGAACGTTTCGGATGAATATACAACTTCCATCTTCACGGAATCACTAATATAAACACATGGCATCACAACCGAAAAGATAACCACCAGCTGGCGAATCTTTCAGGCAGTTCAGTAAAACAGGAAGTAGCCGTTCGACAATCGCTTTCCGGAAGTACAATAATGCACTAATAGTTTTTTTAATTTGGGTAATTTATAGTAGTAAAATTAATACTAAAGTAAAATTTATTTTTTATAGAATGTGTGCTTACACGATATTTTCGTACGCAATTACAATTCGTTAACAAAATAAAAACAAAATTCTGTTTCTGGAGGTCCCGCATTAAAATCCCGGCTTGATAACTTGCTATCTTGAATTAGGCTACCTGTGGTTTTCCTCAGTGGTTCTAGGAATACACCGGAACGGTACCTTTAATTTTGTCATTACTTATTTATTCGATATCCTTAATTATTTACTGATAATCTTATCATTTGACGTCACGTAATGAGCAATAGTTGATAAATAAATAATTAAAATTAAAATTAATACGTTGTTTTCTTGGAATATACCTCCTTATTTGGTAGCATAAACAACGCTATTTTTTTTCTCCACTGATTTTACTATTCTCGTGGCCATCCTTGTTATGGCGAGGAACAAATGTGTTGGAAGATGAAACAGAATCAACACGACAGATGACAGAAAGAGAGGATGTGGAATGAGGTCATGTACGTATAATTAAGGAAAGCATGACCACTGAACGACCTATGTACTGGAAATATATAGAATCATAACACAATGGGTCGAAATCGGTGAGACGTGACGAATTCCTACACTAATATTTGAGCAGTTCGGTTCAAGGTAAAAATGGCAACAATTCGTGAGGGTATTTGGATTAAATAACTGAATTAACAGCATGAATACTAGTTTTAGTCATACATGTAGGCAACAATGTAGACGAGATGGTAAAAAAACAAATGTCTACACTGAAAATTATTCCATTGTAACTGAAAAACACGTAACAATGCAGATCTGTTTAAACGAGCCACCAGATCAAATCCAAGATAAGGTTTTGAATCTGAATATAAAAATTATTTGTAAATAAAATTATGACGAAATCTAAAACCTAGGCAAAATATATGCAAACATAAAATGAACTGCTCTTGGAAATGTAAAAACTTACCATGTCGGTCGTAATATAACACGTAGTCGAATCAAAAGATTAAACCTCTACCTCAGGCAGATTTCTGTCGTAATTTCACTGGAAAATAATAAGTAAAAATGTGCAAGTTACGTGATACAAATGTGAAAACAAATTAAATATACGTCCGTTACATTTATAGTGCTCTTAAGAAAACGTTATTAAACAAATTCAAAAATTAGCGAGTAATTTCGAGGAAATACTATCGATTATGTTGAGAATAAAATTATCTCAGCATGTCTGAAATAATTCTATGGGCTCCACATTGCAGTGGGTTAAATATAGACGGGAGGAATGGAAATAACATCACGGAAATCAAGAGACGCACTTCGTGATATTTAAAATTATCCTGCAAAATTGCAACATGTTGCAGACACGTATAATTAGGACAGTCTAAATCAATCTACAACGCTTTCTTACCGTAATATGTGAAGAGAAGAACGAGAAATGTTCGTAAATCGAAAGGAAGTCGTTCTGAAACTTTTCATCCGTCGCACCACACACCCTCCATGTCGTTGAAGTAGATATCACAGATGGCAGCATAAGACAGCGCCGCAGTAGCAACGAGCCAAAGAGAAACCGATTTTTGGAATAACTCTGCTGTTTAAAACCTCCTTGTTACGCTGTAGCAATGGCTCCCATCACCAGCTGATTTGAGATGTATTTTTCCGAATCACCAGCGTGCTGTTACGAATACTGTGCGTTGTTTTATGATATCGTGTAGTTTATCAATAGCAGGATAATATAAATGTTGTGTATGAAAAAAATGGAATAATGACATCAAAATCAGAGATAAATCTTCAAAACTTTTATGTTTACAACTCGGCGTTCGGTCAGAGTGATGGAGAGGTGGGTGTTAAAACTGGTTTGTATAATCCATGCCAACATTTAAATGGATCACGTTGTTTACGTACCAATGCATAAAAATAAATGTCCGTCATTTGTGAAGATGGCTGTCTCTGAGTTGTTGCGTCGTGTAGTCTGGTTAAAGTTTACCGTTGTTTCGGAGGCCCTTGATGCCGCCATCATCAGGGTTTGCCAGACTACACTGCGCAACAACCCAGAAGATAGGCATCTTCGGACTCCCCGCCGTGAAAACCTCAAATCTTACATACATCATTTGTATTACACGGCCTGGATTTATTCTCAAACTCTGTTCACTTGCAGGTCATGTGCAATAGTTTGTGTAAAAACTATCACAGATTGTCTGTGCTGTAGTTCACATTATCTCACAAATGTACTGTCTTGTTTGGCTTTCAATAGTCGGCAGTTTTTCTTGGATCACAGCAGACACCTTATCACAGGAAAATCCATTATAAATGATCCACATTTTACCTTATATGCAGTGAAAGATGTTTATTTAAACATAAAATTAAAGTAAATGTGGGTGTTTTCTACAAGGTGCTGTCTCCCAAGAAAGATATTTATAAAATATATTTAATAATCAGTACCTCACTGTGCCTAAATGCAGTCTAATATTAATGCAGAAAAATAGTTCATGTGTTAACATAAATGAATACTTCAGCATTTCAGCTGCTTCTAATTATGTTCTGCCCCATGCCTCAACATTCAGCCCAATCATTGTCCACTGTAGCTGGACAGACATTGTGTATCCATAAGATATTTCTGTTAAATATACACATAAAAATGAAACAGCAAGCAACACTGGTGAGTTAATTTATCTTGACATCACATCTAATTGTCTTAATTTAATCCTTTTCAGGAGGATAAAAAGATTTTATTCTATTACCCACCAAAGACTGATTTTGATACGCAGATGAAAAATGTTGGACTCAGTGAAGCAATTGTCAAATTCACAGAGTAAGTGCCATAATTCAGTAGTATTAATATATTCGGACACCGAACTTATTTGTAGAAATATTTTATATATAACAGACTATATTTATCTCTTAGCACATGTAAAATCACGTGACCCGGAATTGCATTCTTCGTGTTCTGTCTCATAGAACGCGTTAAAGCAAGTGGAGACGTAGTGCAACTTCGTTGGTACCTTGGAACTTCTTTCAAGGTCTGGGTTGTCATCAATAAGTGTTGTGATGTTATCTCAGAGCTCTTAAATTTCAGCCAAGTAGAAGTTCTGATGGATGCAGCAATTGAATTTCATTTCTCTTCAATTTATCATCCGTGTCCTGCAGCTGTAGCTGATCTTTGGTGTTCAAATAGTGAGAAGCAGTGTACATTTTCCTTGTTAGTTTCCTTACATTCTTTTCCATCTCAGTGATAGCATTCTTTTGTGTTTCTGATATTATCAGTCGCACCGAATATCGTGGTCGGGTGGTTAACAATCCTGCTTCATATTCCAGAGGTCCCTATTTAAATCTTGGCCTGGAGCCCAGCTTTCCTGACTGGGGTTTTTCACGGTTAAACGAACTACAGATACATGTAGATCGTGGTGATGGTTAGTTGTTCGATATAAAATTGCTGTAGTAAAGTTATGTAAGTCGTGGGATAACTTTATATTATGATTTATGCTGTCTCAGTACCTTCAGCTCGGACCAGTTATGCGAGGCGCTGCATACGCAGAAGTCGAGGCAACTTTATTATCAAGCGGAGGGAGGCTTCTGGATGGTAATGGTAATTAGACATCTTCAGTTTCTTTGAATTATTGAAGTAAATTCTATATATATTTGTGCCTTAATTAATGTCGATATCGAACCTTTTAGCAGCGTTATGTGTTTGGTAATACTTTAATTTATGAAATCTTGTGGGTCAACTTGGTGGCAGATTAGCCGAGTTATAATGAACAAGATTTTTTTCTCTTCAGAATCAAGATGTGTTTCCAACATCAGAAATGCTGCACATGATTTGGAAATTTTACAATCGTGACTGAATATAAACATTTTAAAACATTTCGTAATCTGAAATCTCTTGTATGTCTTTATTTTCAGACAGTAGGTATTCCATTTGTGACTAAAGTTAAGGATGGAACAGAATATTTTGAGTATCAAAGTGATGATGTTCAAGATAACGTTTACCTAGCTGTCTTGCGACAGTCATACCAGATGTTCCGCCTTTTTAAAGGATCATTCACTTCTATTCTTAGTAACAGCAGAGGTGATGTGATACATCTTAAACATAAGCTGGACCATTTCTTCTCCAGGGTGAGAATTAAACAATTTTTCTTTTCTTACATTTAAGTAGTCAGTTCTTGGCTTTGTTCTGTCAGTTATTGGTTATTAAACTACAATGAAGTGTTTCTTATTAGAGAAAGTAACTTAGCAAAGTAAAAAGCGAGAAGAAAAAACTACAATAGAATTAAAATAAAGAAATTCTAATATTTCTGTTCAAATTTTTTTTTTTTCAGTACTTGCTTACGCTGAAACTGAACCATTCAGATATCCTAGACATATTTCAGGGAATCCAGTTCCTTCCTCTTGATAAGCAGACTTTTCTTCATGTCCAGTGCTTTGTTAACCTAATAGAAGCAACGTTTGCTCAAGTGAAATACACGGCATTTCTATACAACGATCAGTTAGTTTGGTAAGTGCATTTCCTGTTAACATGACTTTCGTGGTGAAAAATGAGAAAATATTCCATCTGCATGGGTTTTCTTGCTTGTCGTATCAGTCGAAAGCAGTCATTAATTATCTTTTTCCAGGAGTGGTCTAGAACCTGAAGACATGCAGGTCGTATATAGGTACTTGGTTACGAGTCTGTTACCCGCACATCTCGAGACAGAACTGCAAGGTGGCTCTATGCCGAGACACCCCTCTTCGCCGTTTTTAAGCTCTCATTATGGCAGGTCAGTTATCACTTCTCTGCACGCAAATGTATTTAGACTTGTATTTTAATGTACAAGTTCATTTTTTAACATGTTCAGAATATTTATCAGATTAAATTTAACTGCCCCTGCTGAAAATCAAATTTCTTTTTCATTCTATTGACAGTGCAATTATTTGAATTGAAATTGTTCTGACTAGAGAGATGTACCAACGCGAATATTTGAAATATATCACACAATTTTTTGGGGGGGCTCTTTCTCATTATCGTAGAAGTGCATTTCTCTTGTTGTTATAAATACAAATATACTTAATGATAAATATGTCACCAGATTTGTTACAGGTCCTGCAAACCTCCAAGATGCGTCTGGGGGCACCGGGAAAGTTCCGAAGGTTTACGTCAATAACGATGCGACACCAGAAATATATCACTTAGTTGTATATAGAGCCCTTAGTGCAACGGTGTGTTTGTTTATTGAGGGTGAGCAAAATTGATCTTTCTTTTGATGATGAGAACAGTTAAATTAAGAATTTATGACATTTATAGAGCGTAAGTCCCTCTATTGGAAATATTTACAACTATCTTAAAAAATTACTACTTATTGCTGCAGGCTCTCTACACTTGAATCTTGACCTCTTCAAACGACTGGATATTTTCCTGGGGCCACAACTAACAACATTAGTCTCGGAGGTTGCAGAACAGTGCGGTCGACAGGCGGCCGGTATTAACGCAAATTCTCTCGATCCCAGTCCAAAGTTTGTTTATTTCAATAAGCTTAATCTGGCTCAGAAAAGTACTGTGCATCTCGACAGCAGAAGAACTGGCAATGTGGCGGTAACTCCAGAAGTCCTGCGATTACTCGCAGACATCAATGCTGATAAAGCAAGGTACGGTTAGCACTTTGGATTTTCTTGTCCTTTCACTTATTTAGGTGCATCACCTTGTCTGCCTCAGGCAACAAAGTCATGATATATGTCAGGAGAGATGATACCACTTCGGAGACTTAAGTGTAAATGGGATATTATTAAAATAGATCTTAAGGGAACTAAGTGAGGGTGTGGACTGGATTCTGCCAGCTAAGGATAGTGTTTGATGGTCTGATCACGCAAAGACAGTGTGGTCTGCCCAGAGGTCGTTTTCCAAGATTCCCCACTGAAATTCTGTTAGCCCTACACCCAACCTCCAAGCTGGAGGACCACCCCTTATCAGCTATTCGTGATAGATTATTCAATATACTAGCAGCTAAGCTCCATAACTGGAGGCTTTCTCTCCATCCGCCTGGGGACGTGCCATGCTGTGATGACGGGCTACCTAACGTGGGTAGGAACACAGAGTGGATACGAAATTTGAAACGAATACAATTAATACCATAATATTTTTTTTCAGAATGTCCACAACAGGAGAAACAATACTGAAGACAATGACCGATTACTGGGTCGTGGGCAAAGTGTCAAATCTTCGAGAATTCTACGTTGTCATCCATCAAAAAAATGCCAACCTCATAGAAATAAATGGTAAGAATATGTAAGGAAGTCAGTTTGTAGTATCAGTAGTAGAGAAAGACTATTCCAGTAACCTAGATAAAAATAGAGAAGTTTTCAGTGTGAATGTGCATGGCACTGTTGTAATTTATCAGAGTTCTTTCCCTTTTCTACCGTCCATTTGGACGGTAATAACTCAATTTTTCTCGTGTATATATGACGAAAACCGTGAAGATACCGGATACACATTGAATGAGTTTCTTGTGTCATATGCCCCAGAGATTTAAGTCCATGTAACAGGATATTTTAAGAAATAAATAACTTTTAATGTTGTACAAATTTTAATATACTTGATTGTAGGTAAAAATTATATCTGTGAACATCAAGGTTCAGTATTTTCAGTTTCAAACAATTTTGGGACTTAATTAAAATGGCCTAGTTCAGAATTGTAAATAAGATTTAATACGCTTTAATCTAACTAATAATTTATTTTTCAGATGAAGTGAAGAGGCTAAGTGACAGTCAACTTAAGAGCATATTTTTCCATGATTGAAGTGGAGTGAAGTTAGTGGAATATGAATTTGAAATTTGTTATAAGGAGGCACTTTTAAATTGTGTCAGTTCCCATGTACTATCAGTGAAATCATCCATTCCAATTGATCTATCACAGTTCTGTAATTATCGTGCATACATCCATTTTAATATGTAAATATGTTGTGTTATTTAAAAATAAATATTTTACAGACTGCATCAATGAGATTAGAATACATTAAAGATATTTAAGTGTTAACGGGCAACCTGAATATGGCATCAAAAGGATCATAAGAGTTACTGCGCATCAGTAAGAAAATTCTGCTTAGTTTAAGCTGGCTCTGGTAACTAAAAGCAGGGGAGTACCGGATGGGACTCAGATGGGCTTGCACAAGACCCTCGTTAATTTGTGGCTAATTATCGGATCCCTTTCATTAATACTGCAGAAAATAATAGATTATTTAGGCCATACGCCAGTATCAAACTACTGATACATGTACAGCCATATTTTGATAAATCCTGTCCATCTGCAAAGCGCCAAAATGAAAATAAGAAAATATAACTTGCTGGTCTACCGATCTATCACAGTTCTGTAATTATCGTGCATACATCCATTTTAATATGTAAATATGTTGTGTTATTTAAAAATAAATATTTTACAGACTGCATCAATGAGATTAGAATACATTAAAGATATTTAAGTGTTAACGGGAAACCTGAACATGGCATCAAAAGGATCATAAGTGTTACTGCGCATCTGTAAGAAAATTCTGCTTAGTTTAAGCTGGCTCTGGTACCTAAAAGCAGGGGAGTACCAGATGGGCTTGCACAAGCCCCTCGTTAATTTGTGGCTAATTATCGGATCCCTTTCATTATTAGTGCAGAAAATAATAGATTATTCAGGCCATACGCCAGTATCAAACTACTGATACATGTACAGCCATATTTTGATACATCCTGTCCATCTGCCAAGCGCCAAAATGAAAATAAGATAATATAACTAGCTGGTCCGAGCCCTTGTTGTCAAATTGGTAACACACCCCTGCATAAAGATATATTATTTTACTAGCTTTATGCCAGTTAAAGATAACTTTAACTAGTATAATCGAACTATAATGCCCTTACTGAAGCGCGACACCGTTAGAATAATCCTTTCAACATGTCTGAATCACCCATTGAAACCTAAGTACCCAGATTTAATTTGAAATTTGGAGGGGGGCTGTTGACTCGGCACAACGCAAAAGTGCCCGTATGCACCACTGGAAACAAACCCCTTATCTCAGATATGTTCCATGATAATAGCTTTCCTGCAAAGCTTATAAGTGATAATAATGCTCTTCAGTCTACTGCCTAATGAAACAGCGAACCGTTAACTGAAATTTCAGGTTCTCAAGGCAGCGTGTATGAAGACAACCGTCTTTTGAGTTGCCGCTACATGTAGTCTGGTACACTTCTTCAGTTCAACAACTTTTCAAACTGATACAGTATTTATGAACAGCAAAGATGCCTAGAACTGATCACTTCAAACATGCACAGATCCTGACTAGGTCATAATGGAGAAGCCCAACAGTCACTGCAGAGCTGTTAAAAAATAATGGATCGGCCCAGTGGGCCAAAAAAATGAGCCACCTGAGTGAAAGCCAGTATTAAAATTTTTATTTTTATTTTCTTTACCAGAAGTACCACTTCTATTATTGCAAATCCCTTGTGCAGACTTTTATCACAAGCTGAGATACAGATGCCATAATTATCAACATTAACAAATAGTTTTACACCATTATTTGTAATTCATGAACAATTCACAGCGTCAGCACTTGTGGTATTTTTTATTGTTTAACAAACAGTTTGATATGAAATTATAATACAAGAGTGCTACATGCAGAAATTGGGAATACACAATATAATTAAACATAAATAAAATGAAAATGTATTCTTTCCAAGATTCTTGGTATCAAGACATAAGGGCATAATTCCACAGGTCTGCGTTGATTCTAACATGAACTCAACAAAAGATGAAGTATAAATTCTCGCTGCCTGATGTTTTCAAAGCAATAAAACTATGTTCAATCATTCTACAAAGGACTGTTGTCACAAATCAGCTCAATCATAAACATCCTCTTTGTCAGCTACATATCGGACAATATCAGCAGGCCGAACCAACTTCTCGGCATCTGTGTCTGGAATCTCAAATCCTGAAACACAAAACAGCTTTCAGTTTGCAGAATTATTCAAAAATCTGTTACCAAAAAAAAATGATTTGTATATACATACCAAATTCATCTTCCATGGCCATGATTACTTCTACATGATCTAGTGAATCCAATCCTAAATCGTTCATGAAATGTGATTCTATTGTGAGCTGTAAAACAAGACAACAGAAAATGTACACATATCTAGGTTTATAAATTCTATGAAAAAATTGTGTGTTCTACACAGTTATAAACCCACAGACCTACAGGTCAAATTAATCTGAGACCCAAATTATGAACTGTAAGGATACAATTTTTTTAGGTTAGGTACAGTCAGCCTTCTTTAAGTACATTTTCAGCTAAAACAGTCATCATAATCATGCTTCCCTCCAAAATAATTACACCCACAAAAACGGAACTGTCCAATGGGAAGACTGTAAATCTCATTTCTTTAAAAAATTCCTTAACACCATAAAATTTCCCTTATGTTCATACCCTCTTTTTTTGTTTTTAACTAAAATATTTTCTAAGTCTGAATCACATACTGTAAATAACATAATATAAAAAATATACAAAACATTCCTAACACTTGAGAAAGACCAACTGTTAATCTGAATGATAAATTTACTAAAGAAAGTTGTACCTGAACAGAGCAGGAAACAGCTAAGTTTCACTGGCAAATTTCATAATATCAAACAGTAACAATGTCCCTCTTGCTTGAGGTCTGAGATCTTCAAACCAACAAGTATGAAGATTGCAGTATTTTGGGTTGTAACACACATAGTCCTGCAGATAGTAACTGACATTTCAAAGAAACATACTGCCTCCATCATCAGTGTCGCAATCCAAAAAACCACAACCTGAGATGTCCTCCTGATGCTAAAATAAGAATTTATCTTCAAATTAAGGTTTCTGTAAATCTGACCCTCAAGTACAGACAGAAACAATTTCATAACCTACTTACACATATTTTCATAAAAGGAAAGTAAACACTAAAAGTAAAAGTTTCTGCAGTTTTCTTTTCTACACAACAAAAAGTAAATTAAATAATAATACTGACAATTATAAACCTAATATGTTGTACCTTATTAGGATCAACTTTATCGTAAAGTTTCAAAACCAACAGAACTCTGCCTTGAATGAAATCGAGAGAGAGAGGAGCCTTTGAACTGTATAATCGTTTTGGAGAAATCACCCTCTGAAAAGAAAACACAGACAAAAGAATTCAGGAAAATATTTAAAATGAATACCTTATCAGCAGTGACCTTGTCATATGCTCGGCAAACGCTAAGGACTCTATCACGGATTTGATCCATTGAAGGTTTTGCTTCGGCGAAGTGTCGAATTTGGCCTGCCTGCCGCCAGGTCAGGCACTGTGAAGGGAAAGGGAAAAAAACAAGCTCACTTTCTCTAAGAACTGTGATTTTTTTTTACAACAATCTGATTTTGAATTCTGAAACTATAATGGTGAATATGCAGCATGGTAGCGTCACTATTATTTTCTATATTGTCTTCACTGCTTAGTCGACTTGTGAACTTGTCATCTATTTTATACGTGAAGCTTCACTATACTCACTTCTTTCCAACCACACAATACACAATAATGCCAAAAGAGGATGAAAGTCACCATTTAATGAAACAAATTTTATCAATCTGTGTTTGCTAGCACACTTCAGATTGTTTTTGGATTACTTCTAACACATTTCTGCACATTTAAAACATTAATATGTGTGCAAGATAGTAGGTGATTCATTACTTTCAAGACACATAATCAGACTATAAAAACAGTGATAATTTCCTTAAACAGCATCAACAAACTGATGTTTGTTTGGCAACTTCTCTGCTACCAACTCAAGTGCACTGTGTAACGATTAGATCAGTCCGTAACAGTGACGGCCTTTTCCTGCACTCACATATAATTTCATATTCAACTTATTTTTTTGTAAAACCAGAATGCATCCTAAACCTATAAACCAAAGAGGTTAACATATTTATCAAACAGACATGCTGATCTATTACAAATCCCTCAGCTTAGTAAGGATGAGGCTAAGCGCAATGAAGAGAATACAAACAAGAAATGTGAAAAACAAAGATACCACAACGTGAAGCACTAGACAGCGTCAAGTAATGATAAAAAAGCTATTATATTACCAATTTGAATACAATCGACATTCTAGGTACCTGAATCAAAGATGGTTTGTGAAGTGCATAGAATTGGTTCCATGTCTTCGTATGAATGTGATTTTGTTGAATACCAACAACTGCAGTTCGTGGTAACATAACCCTTAAAAGACATGCATTTCTCACAAGAGCATGCCTTACACAATTCGCTATTGCAGCCATTTTCTTAGGAAGCAAAAGATCCCATAATTCCTCTGCAACTAGACATATCCCAGAATTCCTAAACATGAAACAAAACAGAAGCAGTACACTCGAGACATCGTGTGACAAAATTGGTAACCAAGACTGAAGACAAGGACAGAAAATGGATAAGCTTAGTTAGATGCAAGACTCAAAATATTTTAATTAAATGAAAATTTAACTACAGAATGGCGACAAGGAAATTAATTAAAGCTAGTTTGGATGTTACTGATTTGGCCGCACCAAGAAATAAGGTGGGTGGACATGCAGCACGCATGGGGCAGAGTAGGGGGTGTTTATAGGGGGTTGGTTGGTAGGCCTGAAGGGTGGAGACCACAGGTACGACCTTGACGTAGGTGTGAGGATAACGTGGGAATTCCATGAAATATGACTCTCTGTAGTACATTGCCCTCAGAATGAATCAAATAAGTCAATGTCAAACGTAAACACCAAAAACGACAGTACATTGAAGTTTCCTGTGTAATAAAAGTGTAAAACAAAGCTATTTCAATTATTTCAGTTTACGATTACATTAACCTTATCCTGTTTGGCCAAAGAACGATGCATTCCCACAACTGCGAATTCAAAACTACTTTACTCTTCACAAACAAATGTAATCAGAGACCATTGATTTTAAAGAAAGTGTATGACTACAATTCCAGTAATATGTGTCTCACAGAATTCTTAGATTCTGCACAATAAAAATTTCTGGATGCCGTATCAAAATTTCTCATCTGCACATTCCTGTATACTAACAATTTTTATTACGACTGTACAAACACCCATTGTTTTGTGCAATTTTGAAGACCGTCTATTAGCTTCATCATGTCCGTCTCCAAGTAACAGTACCCTGATACTGGTCAAGATAGGTAGTGTTGCAATATTTTTCATTCACTTCAGTACATTTTACGGTCCACATGTAAGACTCGAATATATTTCTGGATGGATCTCGCTAAGTATTCATCTGAGAGAAGAAATATCTTGAATTAACGTTATGGGGACAAATAAAATACTAGTTATGTCCTACATAATAGGCATAATAAAGTCTTTAATCATTTAATAGGCCTATAGCAACAGAATTTTTGTAATTGTGAGCCATGGAAATCGTTGTCCATCCGCTGATGTCGCCCTGTGTCTGACGATGGTCATTCTACCATATATTGCGCATACGAGGGCATCAGACAAAAGACGTACGCTTTTAATATTATGTTGACACACTTTTCGGTCTAATATGTACACAAATGTACGAGCATTTGCGTTCAGATAAACCGGTATTTAAGCACCCTGAATGTGATCTGAAATTAAATTTGATACAAAAGGTTTTTGTAAGGGATACAAATAAATAAGCTAATCGATTAGAATTATTTTACGTATTTAAACTGATGGGCAGACGAACATGGAGCTGCTAAAGAGACAGCAACGCATTGTTATGAAATACTATGCTACCTACACGAAACAGCCAATTAAAATATCTATAAAAGGAATTATAATCATATACATTTTAACAAATAAATCGGCTTAACTAAAGTTAAGAGTTTTGCCGTTTAACAATGGCTGCAATTTCGGGTTTGCACCGTTCTTTGTTTCACCCGCTCGCCACGCTGAGGCACAGGATGTGAGCGGGACCTGAAACAAATAAAACAAACGAAACGTCTTCTATAAAAACAGCGACAAACAAACGTGAATTATCAACATGAACGCATAGAACTTACCTGAAGACTTCTTGCTATTTTCCGCAGAATTGACATACGCTGTATGTTTTAAAATCGCTTGTCATTGATTGCGTATAACTGGAAGCACTATTTGCTCATTGCAGTTGTCCATATAAACAGGAACAACTCAATGAAATCTATAATATCGCAATTATACGCCATCTGACACGAAGAATAAAAACACAGACGGATAACGAAATCAAAATTCTCGTATTCGATCAAATTCCGGATATTTCTCGCAAGTCGAAAAATCGACGTAACCTAAACTCGACGGCATTGTTATTAAAACGAGCTTTCTGAAAGTTATCCATCGTCTTGATTTATTGTTAAAAATACGACGTTTCGGAGACTGAAATTTGTCTGCATCCTCAGGTAAAATTTTTCTATGTTTGTGGCCAAACGACAGAGCTTGTCCCTATTTCCGGACGAACGTCGATGGTTTGTTTCATCGAAAATATAACTCAAGTTTGTCGTAATGAAAAGACACTCCACCGAATTCGAAATTAAAACATCTAAAACCTGGCTCAATCAATGCCGTCCCATGGAAACAGCTCGTTATTTTAATGAATCCAGTGTCAACGTCGACTGGCTACAATCCAACCTCGAATTAACGCCTTCAAATAAAGACGTATTATTACGTCGACATGTTTTTTTTATTATTCACGTAAAATCGAAACAGCTACGGTAATTCGACAATTTTTACTGTCACGTTGAACGTAAATGACGCTGATCGATTATTAAGATTTTGTAAGACTCAATTAAATTTTTATTTTCCATTAATCAGTATAACAACATTCGACGTGTTTCTCAAATGTTAAATGTTGAGCTCACTTTATAACCTGAAACCAAAGCATGATACACACAGACAAATAACATCTCATTCAATAAAATTCCTGATACACTTATAGATTCAGACAGATCTTTCAACAATGAAGCGAAAGACTGATACAACCAAAATTTATATTTTATACGTTACTGAATCTTTGTCCCAACAATGCGAGTTATTCATAGACAGAGGTTGAAAAAGTACTTTTTTCTCTCGTGTCCTTTTCGCATTGATTTCATTGGTCGTGCCGACTGAACCTGTCAAGTTGACCACCCTGTGATAAAAAAAACACACACACACAGAAATACCCTCCTAAGTGAACGTCCATTACGCCATGGACACAAAAGCTAAGTTCACGCGACCTAACATGGGCACCTATCGGGGAGGGCAGGGAGGACACTTACAAACTATAAAAAAAAGTATAAAGTGCACAGGGTTGCCAACTTGACCTTAACCTAACATGCCCT